GGGCGGCGGCGCTCCGGGTGGTGGGGGCGGCGGCCGCACCGCTCGGCTCGCTCTCCAGCTCGCTCCAGCTCCAGCTCTTCAGTCCTTTCCTCCTCTAGTCAGAGTCAGGCTCGTCTCGTCTCCGGCCGCGTAGCGTGTCCTGGACGACAGTGCGACCGGCACGGCGAGCGCTCGTGTGCGTGCGTGAGTGTGCGTTGTGGGACCCGAGCGGATACCGAGCTTGTGTGCGTGTGTGTGTGTGTGAGTGGGCGCGCGGGGCTATGCTCGTGTGAGCGCCAAGCGCCATGATCCAAAGCCCCCTGCTGGGCTACTCGGCCTTCTCCCAGCTGCTGCAGCGGTGCGCCCCGAGCACGCCGATGACGTCCCCGCCCGGCGCCCTGGGCAGCGCCCTGGGCGGGCCCCGGCTGCCCCCGCAGGCCGCGCCGCCGCCGGCCGTCCCCCAGTTCCTCACCTCGTCGCTGCTGCAGCACCTGCAGCTGCCCCAGCTGCAGCAGCACCAGCACCTGGCGTGCCCGTCTCCGCCCTCGCCCGGGTCGCTGAGCAGCGTGTCGCCGAGCCCCAGCAGCTCGCCGCCGACCAGCCTGGGTGCGCTCAGCGGCCTCGGCCTCGCCTCCGGGCACGGCGTCAAGTCCTTCACCATCGACGCCATCCTGGGCCTGAGCGCGGCCAGCTCGACGCCCCGGCACGACGGCAGGTTCCTGCACCAGCACTACGCCCTGCAGGAGCCCGTGTCCGAGCCGTCCTCCCCCACGGACCTGTCCCTAGGGGGCGGGCCGCGACCGCCGCAGCATCTCAGCAGAGCAGGTGAGGACGGAACCCACCACCGCGAGGGAAACCGTGAGGGGCATTCTAAGATTGAGTTGGAAATTTCCAAAATTTACTGGATTTTTTTTTTTGAAAAATTCCCGAAAATTTCTGGAAATTAACGAAAAACGTTCGAATGTCTGGGAAGTTTTCTATTTTTTCCCGGAAATTTTACGTTTTTCCCGAAAATTTTAGGAAATTTTCCGAAAACTTTCCATGTAGGGGCTTCTAACCCTATTCTGAGAGACACGTCTTTGAGAACACCTTGGAAGAGGACATTTTTGGGGACACTATGTCATGGCTTCTTTGAAGGACATGTTGAAGAGGGGCAGTTTGAGGGATACAGCGGGATGTGGGTGGAAAACCCCCCAATTCTATTAAATGACGATAATCCAGGATTCGGCGAAGTGGCTCCAGAGGAAAGGGAGATTACATATAGCCGTGAATCGAAAGAGTTCACTATACGCAAACTGTATCGAACTTAGGGGGAATGGAACAGGAAATAAATCGTGAACGGAACGGCAGGAGAGCTATTGAATGTATGCATTACCTAAAATTACCGAAAACTGCAACTGGATTGCATCTTTGGTCGGAGACAGGTAGAGACAATGAGGCTGTCCTTAAAAAGAGAAAGCTCTTGAAAACTGCATGTGAGAAGTCTTAAATTTGCACGGTAGAGAGATTCGCTGATAAATTTTTTTTGTGTGTTTATAATTTCTCAACATCCGAGTATATCGTATTGTGAAACAATATTTTTCTTTATTTCACTGACAGCTTTATCCTCCTAGTCGCAGATAATTGTGACACTGATAAAAATTGTTTAGTAATCACGACCGAAAAATGTGGTTGTTGCAACTAAAATGGTGTCAACCCCCTTGATTTAAACCATAGGACGTTCTGTCGTGTAATCCGATGTGTTCGGATGGAGCGTCTAAACGCTCAGCCAGCTCATCAAAACGTCTAGTGTGGCTGTGACTGAGGAGGCAGACTGAGCACCAATTTAGTTACAGCAACCAAAGTATTTTTTTTTCTGCAGGCATGGCGCCCATGTGCCTTTCGTATAGCGACGGCGGGCAGGCGGGGCATAGAGGCGCCCTCAGTCCCCTCCCCCATTTCTCTCTCTCTCTCTCTCTCTCTCTCTCTCTCTCTCTCTCTCTCTGTCTCTCTCTCTCTGTCTCTCTCTCTGTCTCTCTCTCTCTGTCTGTCTCTCTCTCCTCTCTCTCTCTCTCTCTCTCTCTCTCTCTCTCTCTCTCCCTCGCCCCCTCCCTCCCTCCTCTCTGGGGGTCAAAGCATATTATTGTTTTGATTACTCACACCAGAGTGGCCGGCCCAATAGGACCTCAGTCGGGCCGGACCCAGCAAGGAGTATAGAAGGGGAGTGGGGGGGGGAGGAGGGCTGCAATCATTGAAGAGAGGTGGTGTGGTGGGGCGTGGGGACGCGCGAGGAGAGTGACAAAGAGAGAAAAGGGTTGGAAATTTACAAAAAATTTACAAAAATTCCCGAAAATTTCCGGAAAATAACGGAAAACTTTCCAAAGTCTGAATTTTTTTCCCCAAAACTTTCCATTTATTCCGAAATTTTTTCAGAAACTTCCCAGGGCCCCCAACCCTAGTGGGGCAGGGAGGGAGGTCAAAAAAAAAAAAAACCGACTGCTGACACGTCATCAACTTTCTAATTTTTTTTATTATTATTATTTTTAATGGAAAAAGAAGTTAAAGGTCCGACCAATCAAACAGCAAAAATACCGTATAATGTATATTTGAATTACGTTTGACACCCACCGTCGTCGTCGGATTTCCAGTAGTGCAATTCACGCAGCACCCGCCTGCCTGATTGCACAAACTTGCTGTGCTGGTTGTTAGTTTGCAGCCTTTGTTGCACCGGGCGCTCGGTCTGCCTGCTCGGCCCGCTCGGCCCTCGTCCGGAGCAATAACATTGGCGCTTTGAGGCGGCTCCGGCTCCACCATCGCGGTGCATCAGTTGCGCGGACGTTTCTCCCGCTGGTTCGCTCTCTGCTTATTACGACCGTGAGCACAAAGGAACGCCCCGCCCGCCCCACTACGCCTCGCCACGCCCCACCATGCCCCGCCACGCCCCGCCACGCCACGCCCCGCCACGCCCCACCGCTCACGTCGCGATGGACGAGTGGAGTGATACGATAACTGGCGAGGCGAAAAGGGTTGGTTGGTTGTGATGGTTGGTTGTGTGAGTGAGTGTGTGTGTGAGTGTGTGTGTGTGTGTGTGTGTGTGTGTGTGTGTGTGTGTGTGTGTTAGTGTGCGCAAAGCTGCGCCCCTCCTCCAACGCCCCACCATACCCAGCAGTTCAACTTCATGCCCAAGTGGAAAGCATAATTATCGCCATAGAAAGCAAAACATTTTCGCAGTGTCTCCCTTGTAGTATGTGAAATATAATGTCATGTATTTGCTGAAAGCTCTCGTTTTTTGCACACTTTACAGTATTGTGTCAAGTGTCAACCAACAATGGAGGCACATAAGGTGACCTGTACTATCATGTGTTTCTAGACCCGCGAGACCGAAAACGGAAAATTTTAGTTTGCAGAATTTAAGTACCCCTGCATTACTGTCACCCCGATAGGATGCTAAGATTCGTCAGCATATCAAAAGAAACCAAAAAAAGCTTCCAGAATTACGAAATTTTGAAATTTACTGATTTTTGCGAATCTTGATTCATTTGAACTTTGTGATCATGATAAAACTCGTGTTCTGTGGGGGGAGGAGGGATGCGGCGGATATAAGTAGTACCTTTAAATTCACGTCAGCAACATTCTCGTTTCAATAAGCCGTTTTTGTATATTTTCACATATAAATACGATCCCAATCCTTTCCTGCAGATGGATATCAAACGACGCGGGAGGAATCACACACCGGGGTGAACAAACAAACAACACACCAGTCGGTGCGACTAATAAATCTGACCAATAAATGAACAAGCAGGGGGAAGAGGGACAGGGGGGTTTGAAGGAGAATTAATAACAGCAGGAATACATCAGGCGGACACACACACACACACACACACACACACACACACACAGCGAATGAGATTGGGGAGGAGATGATTTTTTTTTATGTGTGTGTGTGTGATAAAGAACGTCGTGGTGGTTGTGTAAGAGGGAAGGGGAGGGTTGCCAAAGGAGCGGGAGAGGGGAGGGGAGGGGAGAGGAGGGGTGGGGTGGAAACTGTAGCGAGGTAATATCGCATCCTGCCGCCGTTATTTCATTGCGCTTCAGAGAGGCGCTGACGCGGAACAGATTGGGGCTGCACAGTGATTCTTATGCAGTGTGTAATGGGCTTGTGTTGCAGCTGCGGTCGTCATGGAGAGAGAGAGAGAGAGAGAGAGAGAGAGAGAGAGAGAGTGGGGAGGGAGGATGCTAATTTAAATTCATGACAAACTGAGTCGCTATTAATCACCCCTAATTCGTGTGTGAAGTGAGTCTGTGCTACTGCTGCGGAATAATGCAGAGCTGCACACCAGTGTGCTCCGAAATGTTATTTGTGTTTCGCATTTGGAGCTTCCCCCCATCCGTACCGTCGATACTTATTCGATGAAACCGAGGCCCCTGGAAGTAGTTGGTTACTTTTTCAAGCATTTTTAAAAATGAGATATTTTAGTGTCATTTTCGACACTTTAGGGACAGTACATGGCCTTTTTTGTCACTTTTGTTTTCTCTCCACAACACTTACGTATTTCCTGACGAAGATTAGAAGTCCTGGAAAAATTCCGGAACATTTCCGGAAAAAAAGAAAATTTCCTATGAGCCCTCGGAAATTTTCGTGTTTTTTTTACCGAAATTTTCGGAAATTTCCAACCCTATACCTGGCAAAGTTTTGACTGAGTGACCCTATGATGCGTTTTCTCCTCTGACGTACTATTGTGTCTTTGTCCGAAAGGTCTGGATCAGGTGAAGAAGCAAGGCGGAGGCGGCAAGTGCAAGCGGGTGCGGACCATCTTCACGGCGGACCAGCTGGAGCGGCTCGAGGCCGAGTTCGAGCGCCAGCAGTACATGGTGGGGCCGGAGAGGCTGTACCTCGCGCATGCCCTCAACCTCACCGAGGCTCAGGTAATACACCAAACGCAAACGCTGCATTTGTTGTTTGTTTTGTTATGTTGTTTTTTCAATTGAAAAAAATAAAATAAAATTCCAACAGCACGACAATTGTTTGAACAGTACTATTTTAAATGCCACTACGTTTTGTAATATGCGTATCATGTCTTTTTAAAATCATTCGAGTCGCCATGGCCATGTTCAGAAGAAAAAGTTTAAAGGCTCAGTTTGAGCCCGAATAATTGAATCAATATAAGCGTACAAATCATTTCAGAGCTCTTTGAGGAAACTACGACTTTGGTCTCGAAATAATTTATAATAGCCATTCGTTGTGAACTTTTACTCGACTTTTCTGAACACTGACAACAAATAAGGCTTAGATCTTATGTGGGGGAGCGTGCAATAAGTTTCTAATGCTCGCTTTACTTTACTCTCCAGGTGAAGGTTTGGTTCCAAAACCGGAGGATAAAGTGGAGGAAGCAGCACCTGGAAGTGGAGCAGCAGCGCCTGGCTGCCATCAAGCAGCACCCCCAGCAGCAGCAGCAGCCCGCGCACCTCCCGCACCCCCAGCTCGAGCAGGACGACGACGAGCACAGCGAGGACAGCGTCATGTCCGAGGACAGGACGTGCTACTTCCCCTCCATGGTGATGCCCAACGGGCTGGCCTCGTCGGCCCCGGACGACCACGGCCACCGCGACCACGGTCACGGCCTCGTCGGCGTCCTGGCGGCCAGGGCGCCCCCCGAGCACGACATGCAGGCGCCCGCCGCCCCGCCCGCACCCAGCGAGGACCGCGACGACGGCGACGCGGACCTCGGTCCGCTCGAGCACCGCGCCGTTCAGTGAGACCACTATGTGGCCGCATATGGCCACCGCACGCGATTCAAGCTGTGAATCATATTCTTGATAGATTTCTGTTCTGTACGTATATACTCCGCTTCCAGACGAGTTTGGGAAGTTTTCCAAAGACTGATCAAAATTTGCAACGTTAAAAGTATACACATTTGCAAACGTGCCATAATCTTAATGAAAAGTCAGTTTAATTAGTTGTTTAAATGAGGGAATGATGTTTGAAAGCAAATATTATTCATAATGTTTATTGTGTCATGATAGTGACAGAGGTCCGCATCTCTGTAGTAGTTTGAAGGTTTTCTTTCCCTTTCTGATATATGTGATTGTAGCATTAAAAATAACTGACCGTTGGTCATACCTGTACATAAGTGTGATTTCGGTTGCTTGAGTGTTACGGGAAGATATCGCCATAACGCACCACCGAAAACCCCTGCATGTAAACTGTGTAAGTAAACGAATAGAGGAGTATTTTTCAATCTGTGATCATTGCCTTCCTGGCAAAAAGTGTTATTCTTGTGAAAAGAATGAAAAATTCTCGTGATGACGAGAATGAAAATGAAAGCATTCTATCAATGTCATTATCAAAAAGTTTAAAAAAAATAAATTTTGACTTGAAACAGAAATAGTCTGATACAATCTTGCCTGCTCTACCTTCCACCGAGTGTACTGAACACTGAACACAATCCCGCTGTCACACCACAACATCACCGTTCCATATCACCATCCAGTATCTAACACCACGTTGTCAAGTGTGTGACAGAGAATCGAGCAGACAACATATGCTCTCTGCTGACCGAATATAAACTCAAAATTGAAGACAAAATTTCGAGACCTGATGAAAAGCAGAGTGTGTGTCGATCAAATCAAAATAAATAATCAAAGATTAATATCAGAAATCTCCGAGAACGCATTTCCGCATCCAAGCTCAAACTTGTTCAATTGCGTCTTCATGCGATGTTAGCGAAGCGCGAGTGAGAATATGGCACACCCGGCGTTCAAGTCACTGGGGATGCTGCACATTGCTGCACTGCGGTGCGCGGCAGCTTCCCAGCAAGAAATCAAAATCGATGCGACATCCAATCAATATAGTAACAATACCAGAAACGTTTCCAATGTTTTAGAAATTTCCGCGCTAATGATTTCGGTTTAATATCGTTTTTGCCAAATTACCAGCTCAATATCTGTCAAATAATAATAATAATACCCAGTATCGAAAGTTTAGAGAGCATTTCGGTCAAAATAATTACTGATAGTTGGCTGAATGAAATGCCAATAAAACGGATCTCTTCTAGATGTGTTCAGAAGACAGGGAACAATACAAATTATGAAAAGCCATTGTGCGTTTAGATTTCATCTTTTTTCATCTTTTTCACGGGAGGAGTTTATGAGACTTTTATGTCATGAGTCCAAAAAAGGAAGCTGCAGTCTTACGTACACGTAACACGCAGATCCAGCTACAACCGGCACGGCCACGGGCAGCTTCTTCCGAGCCGGCTGTAGCAAATTTTACTGTGAACTTTTTCACGATAAATAAATTACAAAAAAAAAAAAAAGAATGGCCGAATGAAATCAATTCATTTGCGACCACAACACCCAAGGTGTACCCTTACCCTCCTAGGACGACACCTCTTCCTCCCCCAACATGAACCCCTTCAGTCAGTGGAGGAGGGGGGGGGCTGCTTCCCGAAGGCCCCGTCTCACTTAGCCCCCCCCCCCCCCTCCTGGGTCCAATGAAGCCAATTCAGCAGCGGCAAGCAGAGGACGCCCCTCCTCTGTGTAATAGCCCGGGTAATTATGGGGGGCAGGAAGGGGGGAGGGGGGCAAGACGTGATGCGGTGAAAGGAAGACACAAAGTAAATGAGAAAGGGAAGAGGGAGGAGGAGGAGGAGATGAGAGGGAGAGGGGGAAGGGAGCGGGAATCACAAAGCAACGCCACCGCGCTTCGCAGCTCCGTCTTTTGATTCGTGGAATTAATTGAAATACCAGGGATTCCTGAGCACCAGAGGGCCGGCGCGGAAGGGAGGGTGGAGGAGGGCACAGCATAACCGTAAGGGAGGGCGGGAGGGAGAGAGAGGGGGGGGGGCACCAAAGCACAAGCGAGAGTCGCGAAAGAGGAAAGGAGAGAGCAAGCAGGGGAAGGGGAGGGGGGTGGTGAGGGGGTTCTCATAGACCTTGTAAAGGGGAGAGGGTAGAGTGGGAGGGAAAGGGGTGGGGGGTGCAGTGAAGGAATGTCTTCGCTCGGAGGCAGTTACATGGTTAGTGGGCCTCATCTTGGAGGAGGCGGGGACGGAAGGGACGGAAAGTGCAAAGAAAAAGGAAGGCAGAATTAGGGAGGATGGGGATGAAGGGGGGGGGGCCATAGGGCAGAGTTTACACGAAGCAAACCCCCACACGAAGAAGAAGAGGATGCCAACACCCCAAGTAGTAGCTTTAAAAATCCTGTGAATGTCATTTGCACTCTTTGGCAATAAAATAGGCCGATGCGGAGGAGCGGGAGAACCGTCAAGATGGCCACCGAGAATCCGATACACAAAACCCTCCAACTGTTTTAATAATGTTCTCAGGACACAAACGAAAGACGCTATCGTCAGCTATCTGCGCTCAATAATACATTGTTTTCAAATGCTTTGTTTAAGCATGAGAAAAATTTTCGCAGTATGGTTGCGGGAAAAAAGTTCCCTCCATCCTTTTTTCTTTTTCCTTTTTTTTCCCTAAACGTGAGGTTCTTCCTTGTAATGGGCTAGTGTCTTTAAACATGAGAGTAGCGCGGAGAAGAACATTTTCACTCTTGAATCAAGAAACCGCCTTACTGAGAGGAGGAGGAGAAGCGAAAAGTTTTCACAGAAGGGGAAAGGAGGCGTCCCCACCCCTGCCTGGCTTTTGGTCCCCGCAGGACCTTCTTTGTTAATTACTTGATACACTTAAGACGCCCCCTCCCTCCCCCTGCGAGCCTTTGCGCCCCTGCTGCTCGTTGGCATTTCTCTATCTCGGCGCGGCCCCCTCCAACCAACCCCCCGCGGGCCCAAAGTCTGTGCAGGCGTTCCAACCCCGGGGAGGAGAAACATTCTCAGCTAATTTCCCCCCGAGCTGCGACCACAAATGATATCATTGTTGTTTCTCTGCTGTCTTTTTCTCTCCCTCTGTTTTTTTTAGGGGGTGGGGTGGTCACCCACGCACCCCATGCGCATGCCCCTTAGCTTGCTAATATGGGTCTCATTTTTTCGTAAAACAAAATGCAAAATGGTGCCTCTCTCTCTCTCTCTCTCTCTCTCTCTCTCTCTCTCTCTCTCTCTCTCTCTC